TCCAGATCTTGCTCCACTCCTTCTCGAGGTCGTCCAGCTCCTTGCTCAGGCTGCTGGGTCCAGCACCGATGCTGCAGTCGCTGCCCTGCCAGCCCACCGCCACTCGCGTGACCGCGTGGAGCCCTGCCGCTCCTCCTGTGAGCTGCTTGCCAACCCACTCGTCGAACTGCCTGCCCCTCTCGTCGACGTCGCGCTTGGCGAGGTGACTGGCGTGCTGCTTCGCGCGGTCGGCCAGCCTCTCGAGTAGGAGGGGGTGCCAGCACGCCAGGCCTCCACGCTGCAACATCCTCAGCCAGCGCCCAGCCTCCGTGCTGCAGGAGGTGCCGCCTCCCTCTCCTGGGCGGGCCTCCTCGTCCTGCTGCAGCTTCCTGACTCTCTTCGGGACCGCCGCCACCAGCTGGGGCAAGTAGCAGATCGCGTCGACCCTGGCCCTGGGCGCTTTCAGCTGCGCCATGGCTCCCAGCGCGTTGGCCACCCTGGCCATCCACGCTGCCTCTGGCGCGAGCCTCGGCGACCTGGGGTCCTGCACCCCGCTGCGCTTGACCAGCTTGGTGGAGAAGCCGTCCGCTCTGCCAACGTACCTGGCCCTCTGCTCCTCCAGCTGGTATACGTCGACCCACTCGTCCTCCGCGCACTCCAGGAAGGTGGCGAAGGCGGCTGTGAGGGCTCCCCTAGCCCCCTCCGCCGCCGCGCCCTGGGCCTGCCCGTCCTGCTGCAGGCGCTGGGCTTGCCCCGCCGAAGAGGCTGCCTGCCTCTTCTCGACCCAGAGGCTGGGGGGCCTCACGTGCACTCCTTCAGCCGCTTCAACCTGAAAGGGACTACCCGCGTTTCCGTTCGGTGCCTGGCTCGGATGTGCACTGCCAGTCCCAGCATGGGGAGGACTGTCCGCCTGCTCCTCCTGCGCAGCGCTGCCCGCGGCGCTGCTGCCCCCTCTCTCCGCTGCGTCGGCGTCATGCGCTCCTGGCGCCTGAGCTCCGAGGTGCGCTGGCTGGACCTCGCCGCGCGGCGCTGCGCCGTACCCTTCATCGCCAGCTTCCTGCCGTAGCCCGCAGCTGTCGAGGATGCTCTGCCACTCCACGCCATGCTGGGCGCGGCACCTCATCAGCTTCTCGTCCGTCACGCAGGATGGCGGCGCAGGTGCGATCGGGAGCACTCTGCCTAGGGGTCCCCATCTCTCCGCCGTAGGCACCTCCTCAGCTTCCTTGCCCCTCACTGGGCGGGGAAGCTCCTGGCCTGCTCCAGCTGTGCGCTGACCTGCTGCGCCACCGCTGCTGCTGGGCTGAGGGGCCTCCTCTTCAGCGGCAGAGGCTGCCTGCCTCTTCTCGACCCAGAGGCTGGGGGGCCTCACGTGCACTCCTTCAGCCGCATCAACCTGAAAGGGACAACCCGCGATTCCGCACGGTGCCTGGCTCGGAGGTGCACTGCCAGTCCCAGCATGGGGAGGGATGTCCGCCTGCGCCTCCTGCACAGCGCTGCCCGCGGCGCTGCTGCCCCCTCTCTCCGCTGCGCCGGTGCCCTGCGCTCCTGGCGCCAGGGCCCCGAGGTGCGCTGGCTGGTCCTCAACGCCTGGTGCAGCGCCGAGCCCTTCCGCGCCAACTTCTCGCCGTAGCCCGCAGCTGTCGAGGATGCTCCGCCACTCCTCGCCATGCTGGGCGCAGCACCTCATCAGATTCACGTCCGTCACGCAGGACGGCGGCGCAGGTGCGATCGGGAGCACGCTGCTTAGTGGTCCCCATCTCCCCGCCGCAGACACCCCTTCAGCTCCCTTGCCCCTCACTGGCCTGGGAATCTCCTGGCCAGCTCTAGCTGTGCGCTGACCTGCTGCGCCACCACTGCTGCTGGGCTGAGGGGCCTCCTCCTCAGCACGTGGGGTGCTCCTCGCTGCGGCCTCACCCTCGAACCTCAGCACCGACGCGAGCTGCTCCTGCACCCTCATCCTGGCTTTCCTCCAGCTGCTGCCGTGGTCTCTCTCACAACACCCTTGCGGCCGAACCTCAGGAAAGGTCCGCGGCTTCTGGACCAGCCTGAAGCGCTCCTCCTCTTGCTGCCTGCGGATCTCGAGGATCACCGCCGAGTGCGGGTACACTGGCGAGGCCTCCACCACCCGCACACCCAGCGCAGCCAGCCCCCTGGACACCAGGAAGAAGTCGATGGTCCTCCCCGACGCTGCGCACGTGGGCGAGGCGGGCCTGACCACCTTGCCGTCGAACATGTCGGGCACCCCGCCTGCCTGCAACTCTTCCTCCGCGAGGTTCCAATCGCCGCCCACCACGAAGTCCCTGCGGCACTGCCTCAACCTCCTTGCCAGCCTCCTGAGGCTGGTCACGTTGCCATCGTTGAGGCCGACCCCCGCCTCCAGGTAGAGGTTGGCGAGCAAGAAGCCGCTGCTCAGCACACCTGACACCCAACACAGGTGCACTCGCCCTGCCACCAGCACCGCTGCCTGCTGGTCCTGCACCTCCGCCATGCCATGGCTCCTCCTCACCATGGTGAGGAGGCCTCCTGTGCTGAGGCCTCCTGCCGCTGACGGCACTGCAGGCGTGCCTCTCGCCCGCCACCCTTGGCTGCGGAGCTGCGCCTCCGCATCACTGCTCCTTCCCTCCAGGAGCCTCGTCTCCTGGACTAGTATGGCGTCGCAGTCCTGCACCTCACTCACCGCCATGCACTTTCCCAGGTTGCTGAACGCATTGACGTTGACCGTGCAGATCCTCCAGACCCCACACTTCTTGCTAGGACTCCTCCTCCATCTGCTTGACCTCCGTCCGCATCTTCTTGGCGTCGCCCAGCAACTGCTCCGCTGCTTCCCTCTTGGCGGGGTCCTCAATCCCGCACGTGATGTCCTGCCACGCTTGCTGCGCCGCCTGCGACACGCCAGGCCCCTCCTCCTTGGGAGCGTCCACCTGCTGCGCTGCTGCTGGCACCGCCGAGGGCACAGGGACCGCCGCTGCCACAGGCGCACGGGGAGGCGCCCACGCTGCGGCGGCGGCGCCTGGCATGCCGCTGAGCTCCGCAAACACCTTCCCGAGCTTCGCGATCTCGTCCCTCGACAAGCCGCCGATCGCCTCCTGTATCGACTCCAGGGAGGCTGCTGGTGCTGCTCTCGGCTCGGCGGCTGCTGCCGCCGCCTCAGCCTCCTCGGCCGCCACCCTGGTGCGCTGAGCCGCCAGCGCCTCGCGTGCCTTGGCCGCCGCCTCGTCGCACTCCTTCCGCAGCAGCACCAACTTGTCCGCGAGGCTGGCCGACTCGTTGATGGCCGCCACCGCCTTGGCCTTTGCCTGCTCCAGCTGGCCCTCCAACTTCTTGACCTGCAAGACCTTGGCGTCCGCCTGCACCTGGGCCGCCTTGACCGTCTTGTCCTTGGACAGCTCGGCCCCCAGTCCGCCCTCACGCAGCCTCCGTGCCTGCAGAAGCTGTTCGCGGACCTTCGGGGCCAGGAGCGCGGCGGTGAGGGCGAAGTCGGCCTCTGCCATGCACACGAAGCCACTGCGCTGCTCCTCGCTGAACCCCACGGCGCCACCAGCGTCACGGCCGCCACCTTCTCCGCCTCGCCACCACGGGGCACGTGTGGGAGGCTTGCCGCCGCCTGCCCCACGCCCGCCGCGCCCGCCGCCAGCGCCGCCAGGAGCACCACCACCGCCGCCGCCTGCAGGCCACCCCCGCAGCGGAGGAAAGGCGCCCAGCTGCCGCGGCGCTGGCCACCCCGCAGCTTGGCACCCCTTGCGACAGCACGCCCTCTCGGCGAAGTTGTAGTAGTCGCACACCGAGCACTTCCACTTCGCAGGCCACGCCGCGCGGCCGCCTCCCCCACGCCCAGCACCCACGCCGCCGCTCCCCGCCATGGCGCGCGTGAGTTTGGAAGGAGGCCGCCCGACTGCCAGAGTGCACACACTCTTGCCTGCGCACGGTAGTGCGATCCAGTGAAGCACGGAGGCTGAAAGCCCCCCGAGCAACCCATCTTGAGCCAAAATGGCTACGGAGAGGAGGAGGAGGAGGAGGAGGAGGGGGAGGAGGAGGAGGAGGAGGAGGAGGAGGAGGAGGAGGAGGAGGAGGAGGAGGAGGAAGAGGAGGAGGAGAGGAGGAGGAGGAGGAGCTGGGTCGGCGGCGCACTGCACGTCGGAGCCTCGATCGGAGACAGGCGCATGCAAGCTAGGAGCAAAAGCGGCAGGCAATGGCAATTCACGAATGGATTCCCAACGCCGGCATGGGCCCGACTGGGGAGACCAAAAGGTACCGATACCGCTGCTCCCCCGACCCCTCCCAGGGTGCGTTGCGATCCGATTTTCGGCGCGGTTCCGGCGATGGCGACGAGGGCCTCTTGGGGGGCCCAGTAAAGGGGAAGCGAGGGAAGGGTAGTGGCATGGGCACCTTCTCCTCCCCTGAACGACTGGCCCCCAGTCACAGCGCGCACACGTGCAGCATCATCCGCAGGACACCCAGCTCAGCGCAGCAGTGGTAGCACCGCTGTCGGCCCGAGCTCCGCCTTCGTCGAGCCTGGTCGCTGCCCCCACGGAGACACCTGGGCGACGAAAAAAAACGTGTCTTGCGGGAGATGGCACAGCGACCTTACGCGATGGCTTACTCGGGCGGCCAGCGCAAAACACTACACTGGAAACGAGGGCGCTCACGCGCGACCTTGCGCGGGCACCTTGCGCATCAATGTCGGTGAACACGGCGCCGTTGTTCTGTCTCGCTCACTTGATGACGGCGCCGCCTCTGTGAAACGACGCCCTCGCATCGGCAGCTTGTCATCGCTCGGACGTCCATTCTCCGTGACCTGCTCGGTCTCGTGCTCTTGTCCGCATGCTGATCCAAGATGTTCCTCGATGGCCCTCGCCGAGGACAAATTCTCACGTCCGGGGCGCTGCACTTTCTCTTCCGCCCGCGGCGAAGCAGAGAAGCTGCTCTCCAGCGGTTGGCGATCCGGGGCGACCGTAAAGGCGAATTGGCCTCCGAGCGATGCAAGGACGTCAACGAAAACCTGCACTGCGCTCGCAACGCTC